GCGTGCCTCCTCCCTGAAAGGCACATTAAAACAACATAAGTATTACATATCTACTCATTAATAAAAACCAACTTTAGTTTCGCACGAAAAAAAAGCAAAATTTAGTAATTGTTGAGCCTCAATTGCTTTTCGCATCGTAAGATAATAATTTAACAGCGCAAAAGTTGTGCATTTATTGGCTTCAATTATGTGTATTTTACTTCTGTGAGTATTATTTTAATTGCTGGGGGTTAGTCTTACCACTTTATCATTTGAACAATATCTTATGTGGAGTAGCTACAAGCACTGTGGCCAACCAAGGGCATATTTTTGCTCAAAGTTTATTATTTGTTGCAAGTTGAGGTTGAAACAGACTATTTATCATTAAATGTATTATCTTGCTTCGTCAATGTAATAATTTGTTACTGGACCGGCGGCTGTTACAATTTTGGGATCCCAGCTAATTATGGGCAGATGTTTCTTTTCCATGTTCGTAATACGCGAACTCTATTATTTGTTTTATTAGGCTGAGAATCATTTTTGTCTGATCATATTTTCATACTCGCAAATTGTTGTTGCAGACATACTGTCATTACTTCCATTGGTATCTAGGTGCTCCTGTATCTCGTGTCGTATTGCATCGGCCCTATTGCACTTATTTTCATTTCGCGGTGTATTTCTTCTGACCTGTTTTATTTACAAGCGTTAGTGGTGCGCGAAAGCCATTTTATTGGAGTTACTTTGTTAGCGCTTGTTCTTGAGAAGGTTTAGTAGTGAACTAGCTGTATTTTAATGGCCCTTCATCATTTTCGCAGACCAAGAGGTTTACCTTAAATCATGTTATTTACTGAACAACTCGTAGTGTTTTGAGTACTTGGTCGACAGGAACTTCTTCCCTGAAACATTTAAGTTTGGTCTAATCTCTGTTGCATTTTTCCAAAGCTTAGTAAATTGGAGTCGACTATTGGTAAGCTAATAGAGTGAATAGCGTTTGGAATCTTGACGTTGAGCTATTAGACTGCCAACTTTTTTACTCCTATGTTTACTTGTTTCCTTAGTGTCGATATGGATGAGCTTAAAGTTGTTGCAGAAATTCCGGAGCCTCCAATATTTTTATGTGGTGAAGTTGTTCGCTGCGAGGTGTCAGTGGTGCTTATGGACCCCAAAACCACTTGGTATCCTTTATACTTTTGTACCTTTTTAAGTGCCTTAACACTCATTTTTCTTTAGGGAAATTCAAAGCATTGAGGGAATTTTGGTAGGCCAATATCGTCTTAATTCGGCTGCTGTTGCAGAAGATTTTAAGAATCAACCAATATTTGACAAAGTCTTCTCAGCATCGCCTGATAAAGATGCTAAAATCGGTACGTTTATGGAAGGATAGTGCTAACGTACCAACCACTTATTTGGCTGTTTAGATAGTGAATTTATCCCCGGATTGGACTCCCAAAGTCGTATTTCTTGGATTCAGCAACTAAACTCTACCAATCAGTGGCCCCTCATAATCTACGCTGAGAAACCTATCGCAAGGATTATTCTAAAAACCCGTCTTTCCGAGAACTTGCCACCCAGCTATCGTGGGAATATTGTCCGTTTCGCTTACAAGGCCCTGATCAAGGTGCAGGTTGACAATAGACCAGCGCAACTGCTTCGCTTGCCATTTCACATTTTACCTTCTGTGGGTAGCTATCATTCTTTCGACTCCACTACCGCTGACTCTCTGCCCGGTCTGTCGAGTAATGCATACAGCGAGAGTCAATCTCCTCCCGACTGCGTCTGTAATCCCTTTCACGTTGATTTTCACAGTCAGATTGGATATAAGGATAGCAATCTTGGTGAGGGAATTCTTAAAAAAGACTTAATGCATCCTGCTGTCTACGATAAGCTCTCGCAATTGCATGCCAACACTCAGGTCCCGTGTGCCATCACTTCCGTACATATGGCTAAGAAGACTAAGAAACGTGCTAAGAGAACATCATTCTCACAATCGCCTTCCGCGATGTTTGCTGAAATAGTTTTTTCAAGTTCGATTGGTATGTTTTGCTCCGCCTTTTCACCGCATTTTAGTGAGCTTTATGCTCTCGGGTCCAAATGGCCATATCTGTCGAATAGGAATGTTCAAGACGGTGGCTCGGTTGGGTGATTTGCTACGGGGCTACTTGGATTTCCGGATGGCTACGCTACCCACCTTCGAATGCATCATTTGGGCTGACACCGACGAGTTTCTTGACCCAACTTCGCGTCAGGAAACTAATTTGGAAAATAACCTTTTGTTCTCCACTTTGCCAATAGATATACCTACTGCATCCAAAGACAAAGGTGCCTCTTGGATAAAAATATGTAATTTTATTAGTCCTCAGGTTACCTGAGAATGCACTGAAAACCTCGTGGTTTGAGGCGCGATTGGCTTGTTCGAACACAAAGTTTCTCCCCTTTGCAATTCCGATTCCTTTGAATGCCCCGGTGGAATTTATGCTATCTAGCAAATATTGGGGTGGCTTATGCAGAGTGCAGTGGTGTCTGCGATTTCAATTCACCGTCGCAATGTCTAACCCAAGACAGCAACCTCAACTGTCGACGGAACCTTCACTGTTCAATAATTTCCTTCAAGGCCACACAGCATCAAATTACTCGGATTACACACCATCTATTAACTGTGACACCCAAACTTTCTCCTGGGAACTTCCTATCTGCATCATTCCAAACGGTCCATCAGCTTTCCTGTTGCCCAATCAAACATGTTCAAGCTGCACTTTTTCACGTGGTTAACTTGTAAACATGAAATATTTTGAGGCCTTTATCACTTTGCTTTAATGGTATTTTATTTAAACAGTATGAATGATAGATGTGTTTCTATATTGTTTTTGTTCTTTGGTAGACATTTCAATTAGCTTCTTGTTCGTATGCCTCTACACGTTCTAGTAAAACTTCGGGATATCCCGGAGAATAGAACTTGACAACATCTTCAGGGAAGCAGTTATTTATGGCAATTATGTGCATGTGCAGGGTAGATCCAGGCTCCGCGACAATTTCTTGAATTTTCCTTAGGCATCCGCTTACGACAAAAGCACGTCTGGCTTTTGCGCTCCGCGGAAGAAGCTTGCTGAACTGTACCACAACATACTTCAGTATGTTGGGTGGCGAGTTGTGTAATATTGGTTGTAGCGCCTCCATGTCAGTGCACTTCTCTAGAACCTGTTTAAGGCACCGTTTGCACTACAGCCTCAGTTATAAATGCAGGTCTCACCTTATCTCGCAAATCTTCGGAACTTTCTGTATTAAGATAATATGCAAGTATGATTGGAAGTAAGCCAACCTCGGAGACAGCATCTGCATGGCTTGCGCCATGGCGACCAATTTGGCCAATGGCCCACACAGCCGCTGCTTTTACTTCATCCCTTTCCTCATGAAGTATATTCTTCAGTTGTACTAGCGCCTTAACGATTATATTAGAGAATGTTAGGAGCATACATGGGCTTTGATAACTGCGATTGCTTGGAGGTCCGAATGTGCTGCGATATAGCCAAGTGCAATTATTCCAGGTATAGCTGAACACCCTTTCGCTTCTTCTAAGAAGTCCACCAGCGCTGGAATTCCACTCGAATTCACTACAACCCGACATATTTCAAATGTATGCTTGCAAAGCTCCTTTATTAAATTGGCTGCTTCGCTGCGAAGGCCCACATCTTTGTCCTTCATACCAATCAAAACTTGGGGAAATATACTGGCCTCCAAAACCAACTCCGCAAAATCTGGTGAATGCTTAGCTATCTGAGCCAAGGAGAGAAAGGCCCGTTTCTAGAGGTATTATAGGATCGCATTAAATTACTCTCAACTTTGAACAGGAGTCCGTTGTCTGCTTCACGAGATGCCAAATTCCAGAAGTGTCGACCACGTTCTGTGCTAGTGTTACCGAATGTTTAGCTATGTCTCCCAATACACCAGCTGATATGCACCTTAAATTGACACCTGGCTCTTGCAAACAGAGATTTATTAGCGGAAGACTGCCAGAGTCAACAACCATTTGCGCTAGATCCTCGCTGTGTCTGACTATGCAGCTAATGCAGGATGCAGCGTTTTCCTTAACACATTGATCGAACTCTTCCAAACAGGCATTAATTACGTTAAGCACTTCGCATCGAACAACCGTAAGTGCCAAGTCTGGCGAATGTTTAGCAATCGATTGTAAAGCTACTAAAGCTGACCTTTTGTAGAATCTCTAGAAACGTTTAAGCAATTTTATCTGTTTACATGTCCCATTCCAGAAGATTTGAGCATCACTTGAATAATATTAGAGTCAGTAATTAATTCGGCAATTTGTTTTGACGTGCTTGCAATTTTTCCAACGACTATAGCTGCTATTTGTTGAATAGTTGGCACTGGGTCATCGAGTAAGTGTCCAAGGCACGAAATAACATCAAATTTGAGTAAATAATTGATGTTATTGGGGCGATTTGCTAAATCAGATATGGACTGAACAAAAAGAAGCCGGGCTTTCTGGTACTGCTCGAAGGCTATAAGCGGTTACTAAATCAAAATGAAAACCTAAGAATATTTGTTTTTGACTCATTTTCGAAACGGTTGCAGCGTCAGCGTTAGGTCGAATATGGCAAATCTATGTATTAAAACCGAATGTATTATTATTAAATTTTCTTAAGGCAAAGCTGCATCATGTCATAAAATATTGCCATGTTCTGCGTGCAAAAGTTTCAAGCGTCAAAAAACCGGCTGCCAAAGGTTGACGCTTTGACTTTTTTAAAAGAAAAAGACAATTAAATAGCAGTGAATATCCCGAATGCCACCCAGTTGAGCACGTTTTGGAAGGAATACGTACTGTTTTGATTGCGGGTTAGTTTACGAGCCCTAACGAATTAATGCTTTTCTGCGCTAGTAAATATCAGGAGTGTATAGCCTTCCTAACTTACCTGAAAGGTATTTTTCGTGTTCAAAGAAATTATTTATTTCCGGGTTCCTTACTGATGTGTTTTAGAATTAAATTATTCACGCTACCTAATGTACTGACGCACATTGCCATGATATAGCGCATACCAAAAAAATTCTTAGTTTTTAATTCTTTTGCCTTTCGTGATACGCGCAAAAATGCATACATTTGTGGTTTTCCGTAAGTCTAATGATGTGAGCTTTTCCAGGTCATTTTTGTTAAGTGTTTACTGGGGTTATTTCTTAATGCAAAAATAAAGTTGGGTTGTAATTCAACCTGGTACCATCCCCGTCTTGCCCCTAAACAGCCTATCTTGTTGGCTCTTCAAGAGAAATACAAATGTTCAACGCTCCAAAGTTTTGGATTTTTTTCTGTTCAAATTTGTTTGGGTCAAAATGCTGATGCCTTGATTTTGATGATTGAAGGTGAATTATCCAGTTGTACTTATCACCCAGACTAACCTTATCATGCACATAATTTTAATAAATAGTCTTAAAGACACCAACAATTACCATAGGAGGTCCAGCAATGTACGAACTTGGTCTAGCCCTGCGCATAAGCGTGGGATGTGAATTAATTTGATCGAATAAACAATATGTCTTCATACATATTCTCAGTCAAGATCGTTTTTTTTTAACCGCAAGTGCAAAGTAACGCCCTAATGCATTTGGTCTTCGCTGAAACCAGAATAGTGTCAGCCGTATTTGATGTCCAGGATCAATTCAACTAAAACCTTTACTTACCTGCTTCTGATGCAATAATTCATTTTTAAGTTTTTGATTTATATCTCAAATGCATTGAAAGGGGAGCTGCCATCACAGATTTGCTGGTACCCCATCACGCGATTTCCCTCATAACTGTATCAAAATGTAATGGTCTGGATATATCTTCACTACAAAAGCTCAAGAAGTCTGCGAGCATATTAACAAAAATAACATGTACTGAAGACCATGTCGTTATTGATGGCCAAAAAGCGGGGATTAAGGAGTTCGTGTAGTTAAACGTAAGGCTTGGACGTTTATGAATAGGTTACAATGCAATTAAAGGTTTCATTTTCAGGATGACAAACATTTGTATACGGTAGTGGTCTATCCCTCAGTATTGAGGAGGTGCCATTTTTGTACTTTGAATTAGCCCATTTGTACCTCGCTGGGTGGGCTGGCCTTTTGGGCCATGCCAGTAGCCCAGACACCTTCCCTATGTTGAATATATATATTCTGCCCGAGTATTGTGTCTTCTTTTGTCTTCAGGGAGTCTCGGGACGCTACACATTCATGTAGACGAGAATTACGGTGTTTTCCGCATTCTCTGAAACTACTTCGTTCCTAACTCCGAACATTTCGAAACTAGGTGGAAATTATCAAATGCAGCAACCTCCAATTTAGTGATCCACTGTCCTACAGGGTGGATTTGTTATAATGGAAAAAATGCTGCTTTTTACGCAGCACTAGTTGTGGTAAAATGTTCACGAAATGCCGTTACGTCGAAACGCATTTGTTTTGCCTTAAAATGTTTGCTACTTGTTCGAGTATGGCAGGAAAGAGTCTCTAAGTTTATTCGCGAACTCTTATGAATATTGGAGTTTCCTTAAATTTTTCAACAATATAATCATTGCAAAGCGATTGTAATGTTGCGTATCGCAGCAGCAAACCAACTTGTTTGTATTTTGTGATACGATTAAGCTAACCTGCTTGCCAATCAGTATTTAATTCACCCCATAACTTCCTCACCATTCTTTCTGCCATAGTTTGAATGTCTCTATCAAGACTAGTTGCCAAGTATTGCAGACTCCTGTTGCCTAGTGATGATTTACCCTACACTTTGGTCTTAGAGCAGCATGCGTTTTCATCTCGTTTATCTGTTCCATTCCTTAAACCTGAAGGTAGAATCCAACGCTCTTGACCTGCCATCATGGCCATTCTTGTACGATAATTCTAAAAGCAATAAGGATTGAAATGCTTTACAAATGAATGATAATAATTTGGAAAGATTTTGGTACTTATTTTGTATCTGCTAAATACTTAGCAATGCCGAAAACACTTCCGCCATGTGAAGAAATGATTGCACTTGAAATGTAAAGGCTATATTCCTCAATTGATCGAGGACAGGAGTTAAATTTCTTCCATACATAGAAGACATTCCAATACATTCCCTAATGCAGTAGAATATGAAAAATCTCCCTGCATTCCCAATGGCTTCTAATGTGCAGCGGCTTTCAAGGAATTAAATCGCGAAATCTCGGTAACTTACCTTCATGATGTCGCAGTCTTCAGCACGATCAAGCTGTCGACAAGAGTAACTACTCAAGAAAGGAGGGATGGCGGTGATGTTATGCTCCAGACAGCGGTTTCCTGCTATGCGCGGACAATAACGCGCTTCTGTGTGTGCGCGCCTATCAACCGTCTGCTCAGCTGGCCACTCGTGCAAAGATTAGCTACCGTGAAAGTGGAGACTTGGATTTTAGCCTTAGATAATGGCGTTAGCACTTACTGCTATTCGAGGGGGAGGGAGTGGCTGTTATTGTTGAGACTAGGCCTGCCCTGACGTCAATACAAGATTCAGGTGGGATTTCAAACAAAAAAAATCATTAGAGGGCTTCACGCATTCAAAGACTTTAAATACAAGACGTCAGCATTGTGACAACGGTTGAACGGATTTACTTCAGCCACTGTATGGTGTTTTGAAAATCATTTGGGTTTACTCCCAGTGTATTAAATTTGGCATTAATATCCTAAGCAAGAAACAGAGTGAGTTGGAAAGTATTTTGAAGTAGTTGCTTTAGCTATTTGCCATTCATTTACTAGATCCACTAAGTCCAACAGATATAGCAATGCTGTTGCTAAAGACTGATCATGCTCCAGAGGATATTATTTGCTCGATTAGAAGTTGATACTGCATCAACATGAAGCCTCGACCACAAGTGGATGTCCAATTCCATGAGGGCGATGAAAGACAGAAAGGAATTCAAGGTCATTTACGGTCCTGCTTACAGGGGGGCACAGCTCTGAATGCGCAGAGCATGGCTTCATGAGCAGAGTGATTCATCCAGCCTTGACTATAGGTTTTGTGTGACAATTCAGCATAATCGTGCTAGGCATTTTGGCAACCGTTGAGTTTCCTCAGAAGTCTGGTGAGCAGAATTATCACGGCCCGTTCCATCTATTATTTATGCATGTAGACTTGAGTACCTTCTGTCAATGCATACAATTGCCATTTTCAGCAGTGTTAGTAAGCTGTAAGTCACTGCGAAATATTGGAACATGCTAAACAAACGCCACTAATTGATGCGATTTCTATGCGAACTATATTCCAAGAAAAATATATAACGTGGGTTTTTTAAAATAATTTTCGCAATATTGTTTTATTTCCTGCTTAGCATATCGTTTTTTGCTTAGCTGGAAACGATTCCCTACAAATGGCATTTTTTTACAGCCGAACTAAATATTCGAGTTGAAGTGTGATTCCATATTTATCTTAAGAAATTAAAGAGGCTTCAAGGCTAAAGGTTAATTGAGAATCATTGCCGCGAAGGCAACTGCTTGCCATGTGTTTGTTAGTTGGTCTTTCAACTCGTTGTCATTACACTGTGAAGTTCCGTGTACATTGTGATTGCTATATTATTAAAACTATGTAATAATATAAAATGTACAAGTGCACTAATTCCAAGCAAACTGTTTTAAGTTCAAGCATAAAATGAAGTTGGTGATGCACAATGCATACGCCGCTTAACATGAGAATGAGGCATAAAGGATTATTGAAAGTAGTCCCACCTTGTTTAAAATCCACATTTTCTTCATCTCTTCTGGCGCTTATGCAATCTTCCCTTGGAAGACCGTGATAGTTGTTAAGAGGTTCATTTGCTTCTCATTTACATGATCACAAAAGGGAATATGCGTAACAATCTAATCACAAGTCTTCCAAGGTTGATTGCCCGAAAAAAAATTGATGTGCCCTATGCACCACCTTCGTCGTAGTCGCTACCCTCGCCAACATGGGCAATGAGGTTTGCGCTTCCCTGTTCTGAAAGAGGCAGCCTAGGCAATGGACTCAAGCCTGGATAAGCGCGCCCAATGGGCGCTGCCTGCAGGTGTACGCACCCAATAGCGTCCGGGCCTTACATACACGCGCGCAAGTATTGATTTTACCGACCTCTACTCCCTCCCGTGCGCGCGTAGGTTCGTGCATGCAAGCATATACGTTTCGGGGACTAGAGCGCGTGGGCGTGGCGACCGGGACGCCGCGGACACCACGTGAGCGCGTTGGGGGTAGGAGCTGCTCCACCTTTCTCCGAGTCCTCACGCCCGCCTTGCGTCAGCTCCACCTACTCTCTCACGTTGCATCCTCGAGGCGGGGAGCACCCATCAGCTAGAGACCCACATGAAAGCGCATCTTGTCATCACGTCGAGGTCGCCACATCTACATTCTTCACTGTAAGGCAATCCGACGTACTCACTTGATCTGTGTTTTGGAGCATCTGGCCCTTTTGGCTGGTTGATTGAAAGGATGAAGCGGTATAGAAATCGCCCCATCTTTCTTCCACTGAGGGAAGACGCACAAACATAGGTTTCTATGACCACGACCATCTGTATCAATTATCACTACTCCACTGAATCATTCCGTGGTCAAAT